AAAAAAAAAAAAAAAAAAAAAAAAAATTAAAAATATTTTAAAACCTAAAATAAAGACCTGTCTAGCTAGGGAGGATGCAGCAGAAAAACTTCAAGTTTGACTCCAGCCTGGGCTATGTAGCCAAGTTCAAAGCTGTCCTAAACTTCACAGTGAGAACCTGTCTTTAAAAATTAATAAAATAATAAAGTAAAATGAGTAACTGAATAACTCTCAGACAGTACAGAAAAGCTTTACTGATGACAGGAGGCAAAAAAACCACTGTCTTCAACCTTGACTTTGAGAAAAACATGGGATGAGGCAGAAGATTGGACAGAGCGGAAACAGACGGTTTTAACATTGCATGGATAACATAAACCTTGGAACCAGCTCCCACCCCGAGTTCTATGTAATGAATTTGAGGGAAACTTTTGATAAAAGTGCTGCTGAAACAATCTCAGCCGCTGGGCACTTTGTGACAGGGATCGAAAGGTAAGCAAAGCAACAGTACAGATCGTGCCAGAAGCTTGAGCAGTGCCATTTTATCAGAAAGCAAAGCTCGGGGCCACTGTAGGGGCAGAGAAGTGGGGAGGTGGGGAGGGGTCAGTCACCAAGCCAGCAGATGACTCGAGATCCCTGGAATGGGGCAGATAGATTTAATATGGGAAGAGGGTCACCTTAGGACTCTACCGATTTTTCCACCTCAATCCTGTCCTCAGAGACTGCAAGAATTCATTCACATCCAACCCACAAACAGTCCAAGCTGAAAGCAGGACACTCACGAAACACCCTGGCAGGAGGAATGAATGGCAAAACAGTTGGGCCTCAGAGCCGGCCAAGAAATTCCAAGTTCCTGCTTTTAAGGCCTCAGCAATGGACAGGTTCAATCCCAGAGGTACAGGTATCCCATTAGAGACTAATTTTATTCACTGTGTGCAATGCACCGATGAAACTCTCCATCCGATACTTCAAAAGAATACTAAATATGAGGATCATCAAGCCTTTGTGTGGGGAAACAACACCCACCAGGATTATGGGCTATGCACACTGTAAACTCCGTATGGAATACTGGAAAAGCTACTGAGGTGGAGACTTTCTTTGGGCTTCGCCATCCCGCTGACGAACATGGAAATACAAAGGCATGATACAGCACACAGATGTAGGAGAAGAAGGTTGTTTCTTTGGTTTGTAGTGGCCGACTTTTCATTTCCACCCTCGGTATGCTGGCAAACACTACATTCCTGATGTTGGCACGGGTTTTGCCAAGTGCTCAGTTCCAGTGAATTCTCAGAAAGAGTCAAAGTGCAGGGAAGTTCCGAGAAGCCCAGCTAGCCCAGTTCACCCAGCCAGCACAGCAGTTTACGGATCAAGGGGCTGAGGTCAGGATGATCAGGACGCCAGAATACACAGGAAGTTTCAGGCCACACTAGCTGCCCCCATGTCCCCACTGGCCTGCCCAAGGGTACAGAGAGCAGAAGCACTGGGCTGAGTTCTCCACCCTAAGATTTCAGCACAGGACATTTCAGAGAGCAGCCCTCAAGGGGAAAAGTGCCACCTCCATTTCCCTAAGGTCCCTTCATCATAAACCAAACTTGCTGCCCAGAGGCTTAGGCAGACAGGAAGGTAGCAGGGAAATAAATATGCCACACTAAGATGATAAAGTCCTCTTCGTTTATTTGGAATGAGGGTGGGGAAGAGGACAAGTGCGAGGTCACGGGCATCTGCAGAAGGGCGCCAGAAGCCGGTACCCTCCAGGCTCTGGCTCTGCCAGAAGGGTTCTTGGGAAGAGGCAGCCAGCTCACAGACAGATGCCCTGGATCTTTCGTGCTGATCATAAAAACGTTAAGACAGTGCCTTTCTTTCCAATCTGCCAGGGCTCCACGGGAAAAAAGCGGATAATTATCCTTCAAGAAACAGAGACAAAGATGTCAGCTGCTTGGCAAACTCCTCACCTTGCAAGACCCCTGCCCCACGCTCTCCCCAGGGGCTCTCGGGGCCAGCGGGATCAGCCCTCGGGTATTTTGCTGCCCTGCTCATTCCAGTTAAGCTCTTCCCCTGCCCCAGACAAGACAGCAGTACTGTGGGATGCAGCCTGCAGATGGAGACACAGGGGCTGCAAGCTGAAGTGGTCTGGCCATGGCCAGGAGTCTAGACATCCAGGACAAAGCTCTTCTCGATATGGTGGCCCCCTCCTCCGGCCTCATTTGGTTCCGAAGGTCATGATCCGGAGACACACCCACATTTCCTTTCAACGGCCTGGAAATGCTGTCTTTGAAAATCAGACTCTCTGGCTTCCTCAGGGTAATAGCACTGCTCCCCACCCCACTGCCGGGTAACGAAGCAGGCGGACAGCACGGGTCCTCCCAGTGCCTCTCCCTGGCAGGGTCCCCGAGGACTTGTCTGAAGAGCTCCTTCCCAGTGCACAGACGTGCGAGATGCCACGCCTTGCCCAGGTGTCACAGGGATGGCTGCTGAGCCAGGAGCTCACCAACCCTGGAGCCACAAGGGAACACAAACGCACCATCAGGAGGCCCAAGGAATCTAGAGGCTTCCCGGAACAGACTCAATGTATCCTTCTTGGGCAGGGTGAGGAATTTCTTTTCCCCTAACCTTACATAGGGCCCCCAGGCAGGGTCACGGCCTCTGCTTGCACAGTTGTCCCAGATGGGCACTTTAACTACCCCTACAAACCGATCCTGTCCCAAGGCCAGCTCCTTGGTGAGGAACTCGAAGAAGCTGGCGCTGTGTACGCGATTATTCTCCGCAGTGTCCACCACACCGATGGAAGAGACGAGCAGCTGGGCGCAGGGCTCTGTGGATCCGCTCAGCACCATGGTCAGGCCAGGCCGCACAGTGACGTTTATGCGCTGAGAAGGACACAAAGGTTTCACAGCTGGGGCTGCAGTGAGCACGACCGGGCACACGGGGGCGTACAGCGCCTGGACGCGCAGAGCCTGAAGGGCCAGGTCCTTTAAGCTACGTGGAGACCACGGCCAGGTAGGGCAAGGGAGGGCAGTGCTAGGCCGGCCCGCAGATCCATGGGGCATGGAAGGCCAGGCTGGTGGGCGAACTAGCGGTCCCTGAGGATGAATCTGGGTCACTCTGTGGAGGTGGGGCGTCGACGGAGCCGGACCCTGGTCCCCAAACCTCCCCTCTCCCCGGTCACCCTCATCCTCGCTCACGTCCACTGGTTTGCCCAGGATGGTGGCGGCGACCTCGCACAGCCGCTTCTCCAGCCCAGCGGGCAAGCGGCTGGCGGGCAGGCTTGTGTCCAGCTCAATGAAAGGCATGTTCAGCAGGACGTTCAACCGGAAGGCGGAAGCAGCCTCAGCGGAGAAAGGACTCACGGTCGGGCCAGCACAGCCAAGAATGGCGGAATGGGCGCCTGGGCGGGGCGTCAGGAGGCTGGGCCACATCGGCGCTCCCCATTGGTCACCAAAGACACAGCCCCATCTCTAAGGTTCCCAGTGCTGGCTCTGATTTCCGGAAGTCCGACCTCCCAAACGGCTAGTTGTGACTCCAGCACCCGCGGATACACCCGGAGTAGAGGCCCTGCCCACCGCACCCCAGCCTTAACGGTAGGGTTGGTTTTTCCTCTGTTTTTCCTCTGCCCAGACCCACCCTGTTCTTAATCTGTAGTCGCTTGGAAGTCTGAACACACACATGTGTAGGGCCTCTCTAATAACTATCACTATGCTGGTTAAATATTTTAAACGAGCTGCCACGATTTCAAAGTCAGGCAACTTCAGAGTTTCATGGAGGAATCTGTGCTTCTCTAAAACAACTTGGAGGCCTAGTAATATGTGTGGGTGTCGGTTGGGGCTGGGCAAATCCCTGGGGCTATGGAATCTCTACCAGGACCCCAAGACTCCTGCCCTCATAGCCTGTTGTGTGAGTGGTGACTCATTGTCCTCCAGGGTATGACAGGGTTATTTAAAACAAAGCTGTCCGTTCAGTTACACATAGAAAATTCTAAGTGTGTGTATTACAAGTGCCTCAATGACAAGGGGATTGGACCAACACTATCATGACTTGTCCTGTTGGTGATTTATTAGAAGATTCACAAAGGGGCTGAGACACAAGACAGGTAAGGTTGTGACAGTCCTGGAGGTGGCAAGTTTGGGACCCAGGTGGCCACAGAGAAGACAGTGGTTAGGGTTAGGAGTAGGCCTGGAAGAGCAGACTGCTCCACAGCACCTGAAGACCAAGAAATAACAGAGGACTTGCCTCTCTGCAAGACGGGTCACGAACCAGCCCTGTACCCCACCTGTGGGGAGACAGTGTCACCAGAGAGGTGAAAGACCTAGGGGACGGGGACCATTCCTGATCAGACAGCTCTTCACCTGGTCACCCTCCATCTGTGATGTGTGCTTAGCCAGAGGAGCATGGCGCCAGCGCCCTGCCAGGACCGAGGGGAGGAAACACTGGGGCTGAGGATGGCAGAGGGGCCATCTGACCTGCACCGGGTGTGGAGAAGTCAGGGAAGTCTCCCAGGAGAAGTGACATGGGCCCGAATGCCCAAAGACATGCATAACAATGTGCTACAGCTCCCTGCAGAGGTCAGGTGGAAGCCAGATATTGGAGTAAACCTGAAGGAAGACACAAAAGGAATGGCGTCATGATGTGTGGAAGGAACTGTGGACCAGAAACGTGGACAAGTCCATTCCCAAGCACACAGCGGCACGGCGTGCTTTAGGTTTCCGATAGGATTTTCCCACTTCCACCACATGCGTGATGGGTTGGGACCCTGGGAAGCCACTCAGTATCCCTAAGTGAGAGCTAAAGAGGGCTCATTTTATAGATGAGGAGACTGAGACTCAGGACACAGACTCCTCCAGAGTCCCACGGCCAGGAAGGTCAACATGAGTGGGGTACTCAGCCCCTTCCCAGGACTCCCGACTATTCAGCAGGCCACCCCACCCCGCGGCACTCACCTGCATCAGTTCCGTGATGGCCACCAAGTCAGCCACAGAGATTTGGGGACCAGTGAGGAAGGCCTGGTCCCCAAGGAACTTGTCCTCGAGCAGCTGCAGGCAACTGTCCAGCTCAGCCAAATTGGCCGACAATGTCTCCGGGGCACTGGCTGATGCGGCAGGACATCCCTGTCCTCTAAAGGCCTGGCAGGAAGAAAGTCAAAGCCAGGCATGCACTCTGGGAGGCCGAGGCAGGAAGATTAAAAGTTAGAACCCACCCTGGGCCACTTAGCAACTTAATGAGTCCTTCTCTCAAAATAAAAGTTAAAGAGGGGCAGAGTGGGGATGTAGCTCACTGTGAAGGGCCTTATTTCAATCCCCAGCACGGAGAGGGGATGACGACACCGTGTCAAAAACCCTCCCTCATTTTCCATCATCAGTTGTTATTTTTTCCTCATCATCCCTGTCTACTGCTTTCTGCTTTAAAGACTTCCTCAAGACTAAAATCTCAGGCCAGCATAGTGGTGCACGCCTGTAATCCCAGCACTCAGGAAGTTGAGGCAGGAGGAGCACCTCAAGTTCAAGGCCAGCCTGGGCCACATAATGAGTTCAAGTCCATCTTGGACGACATAGCAAGACCTTCTCTTAAAAAAACAAAATGAAACAAAATCTAAAAGAAGACAGATCTCAGCACAGAGCTCTCCCCAGTGCAGCAATCATCCTGTCCCCGCTCCCCTAACCAACTCTTAGTTGTACCCCAAATTGCTCAAATGGGACTTGGGTGAATCTGCTGGGATTTAGCTAAAGCGTATGTTCCTAAAATTACAACCAGCACTCTCTGGCATTCCTAGGACCTGATGTTCTAAGGTTCTAAGGTTCCCCATGTCTGAACAAATGCTTAAAACAGAAAGCACCATTCCTGGGGTACCCCGCAGGTATCCCTGCCTCCCCTGGCTCACCTTCTGCCACACAGCCTGGGTGCAGCTTCTTGGGGTTGTGTGCTGCCAGAACAGGGACTCATGCACTCCGACATCGGGGAAGAGGAAGCCACTGTGCTGGTCACTGGATCTCAGATGCTGACCCCACCAGTGGCCCATCTGCCCCGTGTTCATACTCTTGAGGCCTGGGCCAAGCAGAACCTCATTTGAGCTTAGGGACATGGCTGTTCTCTGGCGCAGTAATCCACCCGGCACACCAGCCATTCCAGCCGTGGGTGAGACGCCTGGTCTCCTCCCTGGGCCATATGCACCTCTCATTCCTCTTCCTAGCTCAGTTCCAGGCTATCTGAACTCTACACCTCAGAGCCCCAGCCTCCCTATTCCAGGGTCTCAGTCAAATCTCCTGTCCCGTTCAGCCACACAGCCTCCACCATCTCTGTATTTCTTTTCTGATGCCCAAACTCTGCATTCTTTCTCCTTATTGTGGGTTCCCAGGTCTGGCTCACTTCCACGTACCTCACCCTCCAGCCCAGGCCAGCCTGGAGAGGACTCTAAGCTAATTTGCATGGAGTCAGAGAGCCTCAGTGGAGGGCCAGCTTTCAGCCTGACCAGAGGGCTACTCATGGTCCTTGTGCTAAATGGACACCATCACCCCTGCTGGTTCTCCCCCGAGAAACTGCCTGTGTCCAGCCAGTCCTACTGGAGGTGACCCAAGCCAAGAGTATCAAAGGCAGGGGGGAAGAAGTCACTTGGGGGGGGCAGCCCAGGGGGCTCTGGCTTGGTGCGGCCCTGCCCTGCTGTCCAGTAGTGGCCCTGGCTCCTCCTCTGCACTCTGCTCCAGCTGTGGTTCTATTTTGGCTTGTTTTGTTTTTTCTAATTTATTTGTATATACTATTTTATTTACTATTTATGACAGCTCAAAGAAATCAGGTGCATGGTATTTTATTTCCAAATTACTGAGACAGGAAGACTTTGTGGAAATGGAAAGGGGACCTGGGGATGGGGAGGCAAAGTGGGGAGGAAAAATGATTAAGATGTAATACACATATGCACCAGTTCCCCAAGATTAAAGTAGTTATTGTGTATCTCAAGCATATATGAATTTAAAAACGTAACAAATTAAAAAATGAAAGTAAAAAAAATTACTGAGGATGAAACCAACACAAAGACTAACTTGCTTAAGAGAACACAGGGTCTGATCCAAGGCAGGCTGACTAACAACAGAGTCCGAAGTCTTCACTAGATAGGAAAAGGGCCAACACTCTAGAAGCTGATAGATCATGTGATCTTTCTGCCTAGATTTATTTCATCTCAAAAAGAGAACTAGTAACAATACTCATGCCTAAAGGGCTAAAGGTGTAGGGAAAGTGGGAAGGTTGGGGGAAGGTAATAAGGGAAAAGAAAAAAATATGAGAAAATGAAAAAATGGAAATAAAAGTGTTTGTAAGTGGGGAGGGGAGGAGGGGGTGAAGGGAGGGCAGGGACAAGGGGAAAAAATGAGAACCAAGACCTGTCATATAAAGGTACAAGATCCCAATAATGAATGTAACTGTACCATATACCTAAAATGTATCAATAAACTCAATGAGAGAAGAAAAAAAACCCCAATATTCATGCCTGAGAGTAGTGTGTTGAATAAATGAAGTAGAAACCCACCTCCTTTGTGTAGGTATAGAATTGGCTTTGATCAATTTTTTTTTTTTTTTTTTTTTTAAGGAACTCACTATGTAGCCCAGGCTCGAACTCACAGTGATCCTCCTGCCTCAGCTTCCCAAGTGTTGGGATTACAGGTGTGCGCCATCACAACAAGCTAGAGGTTTTGATCAATATTATCAGTGTCTTTTTTTTTTACCCTGTACTGGGGATGTAATTTTCTCTGTTCAGCCTTCAGTTGATGTTGTTCTGCCCTGGGGGACTTGTGGGTGTCAGCATCCATGGAACAACAACCACCCCCACTACAACCACAACAACACCACCCTGGGAGTTTCAGCTTGACTAGTTCAGCGTGTGTAGGACAGGGCAGGGACAGGCCTTGCAGAGACAACCTGGCTCAGGGCCAAGGATTCATCCTGTGCAGAGGGGCTCTGGGGGGGATTTGGAGGGGCAGAAACAAATCCCAGGAAACTTCCTGCTGCATGGGAGGGTGAAGGAGGGAGGTGGTGGGAGAGAAGTTTGAATATTAACAGTGATTTCGCCAAAATTAAGAGTGAACCAGCCCCTGAGGTGTTCAAAGGCTCATGTCTTCTTCCTGGAGCTCTCCGGTGGTTACCCTGAGCTCTGCACACCTGTGATCATCCGTAGCAGAGGGGAATTCACCGTGAAGATAAACGGGGCTGACACTTGAAGGTTCTTGTTTGCCTTGAGAGGGTCTGTGTCCTTTTGGAAAATTTGCCGAAGATATTTTTACAAGTTGGTTGAAGCCCACTGTCTCCTTCTATTATAAATTCCCTTGTCACACATCTCCCGTCCGGCCTAATGGAGAAGGAGTTGAGTTGAATTCACCTGCTTTCTTCTCCCAGCCAAGAGTCAGCCCCATTGCTGCCA